CACAACCTGTGACAGCAGGAGGCACTTCCCTGGGACATCTATGGCTCAGTGCTCCTATTCTGAGTTGCCTGTCAGAGGAAAAGGAGGCCTTTGCTAAATAAATATCAGTGGCATCTCCAACTGTGCTGGGACACCCCTCCTGATACCAGGACCTTGTATTATCTGAAGTAAAAAAAATGTAGTCTGAAATAGACTCAGCTATATAAAGGAAGGCTTTGGTGTAATTGTCAAAGTGAGCTTCAAGGCTCCATTCTGGATTTGCATTAACACAGAGCTAAGGCTTCACTTTATTTTGGGCCACAAACCCCTCTGAAAATCATGAAAGTTACAGATTTTCTTCTTAGAAACTTCCCACTAGTCTCACACCTACATGCAGAATTTGGCACACCATTTCAGGAGACTCAGAATTCAGAAGGCCCACTATGGACCACAGCTTAAGAATTCAGTACTAGACAAGAAAACTGCTTTAAAGAAACCCCAGTAACTCAGGCGAGCTAAACTTGGTCAGCAATGTAACCTCTGTAAGTTTTTGTTTTTCTTCTCCACAATAAGGGTATTAATATATTAATGATTTTTTTAAGCTCACAAGGTTGTTGTGATGATAAAAGAGGGTTATTATATTTAAAAATCCTAGTACAGGACTTGGCACATAGTCAATGCTTAATCAATATCAGCTGATGACATTTTATTATTACTATTATTTTATCATGCTTATTATTGGTAGGACCTACAATGTGTTACAATACTTTCATTAGTAGAGCAGAATTTGTCCCAGGATTTCATAAATGATTTCCTGCCTTGTGGTTTTAGTTGAAAATACAAATGATAACAGAGAACTGTTATAAAATGTGAAGTGGAACCCGGTTTCTTTAGTGTTACTGTTGCAGGTCCTTGGGATGGGGTGGGAGATGGAGCTGATATTTCCTATACACAGAAGAGGAGAAAGAGAATCCTTCCCTTTTTTTCCCCTGGGCACAGGCACATTTAGAACAAGAGCAAAATGTATCTCAGGAACCATATTTGGAGTTAAAAAAAAAAATCCCCCACTGGTCCAGCAACTGCAATCTTTGTGGTTTCAGTGTGAGTTTTTGCCCTGAACCTGCAACATTTTAGCTATTATTTTGCCGCACAAAAATCAGTGACCTAATTTCTTGATGAAGCCCAAATGAAGGGTTTGGATAACAAACAGATTAGAAATCTGGCATCTTTACAAAAACAGTTAAAAGACTAACGCGCAACTGAACTTAAAAAACAAATAAAAGAAAACTTGCTTTTGTCTTTTGGGGCCCTGGAAGTTCTCCTCCAGATAGACGTCAGACTTCTCCCAATTAGAGCCTATCAGAAAGCCATCACACCGCAATTAAAACGCAAACAAACTGACCAAAGAATCTCCTGAGGACGATTTGCCAGGACCAGACTGTCCAGCTACGGAACTGACTGACGTAGGCATCTGAACACACTCTCTCTGGAATTGTCTCAGCCTCTTTCTCTCTCTTCCTCCTCCCTGTTCTGAATGGCTTTATGGGGTCCTCAGCACCTTCCCATCAATCCTTTCTGCTAATGTTCACTAGAGCCTGTGGTGTGTGCTTGCTCTCCATGCACCAGGTGTTCAGACCTGCCTCAGTTTCCTCCACTATGTACCTGTTTCCTCCCCTGGGGTTCTTTGTCAGCTGTTCTCCCTCCCTCCAACCTCCCCCATTCTCCACACTCTTACTTCCTACTCATTTTCAAGATTTTGGTGTGAAATGGTCCTTCTTTAGGGGAGCCTTTTCCTGGCCTCCCAGACTAGATGGATGGCACATTTCCATTGTCCCTGACCTTTCACTTTCATTTGATTGTGCCAATCTCTCCTTCCAGACCGTAAGCTCAGGGCAGCAGGCATGCCCACTGTGCTCAGCTCCAAGCACCAGACCCACAGTTGAAACTGTGCCACACGGTGTGGCCTCAGGTGGAATGGATCAACCAGAGACTGTGATATTATCTACATTGGACAGGTGAAGGAAGAGACCCAGAGAAGGAAGTCACTTCTCAAAGTCACAGTCTATTAATGAAAGTCATGGCTCTCAGCTGGCTCTTTCCACTTCTGTGCTCCCTGGGAGGAGGGCTTTTTTTTTTTTAATTGCCATTTTTCCCCCTTTTTTCTTCTTTTCTTTCTTTTTTTTTTGGTACTAGGAATTAAACCCAAGGACCCTTGGTGAGCCACATCCCCAGCTCTTTTTAAAAATATTTTATTTATTTAGAGGCAGGGTCTCTCTGAGTTGCTTAGGACCTTGATAAAGCTGAGGCTGGCTTTGAACTTGTGATCCTCCTGCCTCAGCCCTCTGAGCCCCTGGGATTACAAGTGTGCACCACCATGCCTGGCCCCCCTTCTTGCCATTTCTGAAGGAGGTCATTGTGAGCCCTGGTGCCCCTACCTGGTTAGGGTGTCCAAGGCTAGCTTCTGGTGGTAGCAGAAACACCTGGTGGTTGCCACCCCCACAAGACACCCACAGCTGGCGTCAGCGTGACTCTACCACTGCATGACCCAAACCCCCTCATTCCAGATCACTCAGCACCCCCTGAGGCAGGTCCTTGAATGCCCTGCAATTACTCCCACTCTCCAGAAGCCAGGAGGGTAGGGATGGGGATATTTAATGAGAGGGTGACAGGCCCTTCTCCCCTACCAAGAATAGCTCCTGCCTCCTGGAGGCATTTCTTCCTTAGGTTTGCTGGTGTTTTCTTGCTCACGATCATAGATCTGTTCATTAACCCTCTCAGCATCTGTGTGAAGTTGGATCAGCAAAGACACTAATCCATTAGCTGGGAGCACCATGAGCCAGGGGCTGTCTGACTTGCTCCCTGCTGCATCTCTAGCTGTTAGAACAGCACTGGGCACACAGTAGGTTCAGCAGACATTTGTTAAACGAATGAGGAGCTTCCCATGTGTCAAGAACTTACTATACCTGTACTTACGGGGACTATAACTGGTTTATTTTACAGATCATGTAAACAAGGTTCAGAGAGTTAAGAGACTTATCCAAAGGCACAAATTTTGCAAGCAGTATAACCAGATCCCCATGGTGCCCACAAAGACATCATGCTGTTTGCAGGGACTTGTAATACAGAGTCCAGCACCAAGAATCAGTTGGGGACCCAGGCACTGAGGGAGTGGTGCTCATGGGAACAAGGAGGGATTTGAGTAGCAGCAGGGCCTGGGTCCCAGGAGGAGAGGTAGCGAGAACCCTGGAAGGGGACTCCCAAGGCCATGTCCTGCTTTGCTCCTGCACATTGTAGTTCTCACCCATCTCTTCCTCTCTCTGGGCCTATTTCCCTATCCATACAATGAGGGCAGTCAATTTACAATTTAGAGTGGCCCCTGGGATCCTTCCATACCCCCCACCAAAGCTGTATGAGAGTATATGAGAGTATATAAAAGTAATTACAGAGTCACAAAATCTTAAAAATGGTGCCCTCATCCAATTCAGCACAGGAATCCCTGCTTTAGCACTCCTAGGAGATGGCACAGGTTCTGTTGAGGAGCTCCAGGCCAGGGGTTCTCAATTGAGGATGATTGTGCCTCCCTGAGGGCATCTGGCCATATTGAAGACATTTTGGGTTGTCACAATGGGAAGGGGCACATTAGTGGCATCTAGTAGGTAGAAATCAAGGATGCTACTATATACTTTATAGAGCACAGGACAGTCTCCACACCAAAGAATTACCCAGCCCCAAATGTCAACAGTGTTGAGGCTGAGAAACTCTACTGTAGGCACAAGGGCCTCGTTACAGCTTGAGGGAACTCATGGCTGAGGGTAGCAATGACCAGGACAAGTTTATTAGGAACACATGTCCCTCTGGTTTAAGGCTACCTTCTGGGGAAATCTGAAGGAGGGACTCTCCCTCCTCTCCAAGATGGCTATTCAAACACCTAGGCAGGGTTGATCACAGTGATTCAGCTAGCAGCTAGCAGCTAGCAGCTGTGCAGTGAGGGAAGGTGGGCCAATGTCAGGGCTGAGGGGCTAAAGCCAGGAGCAAGGGATCTCAGGGAGAAGACCAACAGCTCTTACACAGTAAGTTCTTAGTAAGTTCACTCCTGTTGACCTTTACTCCTGGGATTTCAACTAACTGCCCATCTCCTCACTGGACTGTAGGGCTGTGGGGGATCTCAACAGACCCTGGCACAGCCTGTGCATGGTAGGGGCTCAAGAAATAGTTGTTGAAGGGATGAATAAGTGGAATGAAGATTGGCTTTGGCAGCCTAAGTGCTGAGTATGTTCAAGGCTATTTTGGGACCTTGGTGAGAGGATCTAGCATGCAAGGCTGAAGAGTCTGTATGTAAACTGGTGGGCAGGGAGGGACTTGGAAGACCTCTCAGTGGGGCAAAGCCAAGAGTATTGTGATGCCCCAGGATAATGGACTGGGCTGAGGATGGAGGACTGAGAAGAATCTAGAGACCAACTGGGTGACCGTTGCAGGAATCCTTAGGCAAGAGGCCGGACCCTGGGAGGTTGCTGTGGGGAAGCAGCCCTGGTTTGTTTTGGGGGATGTTAATGTCCTCCATTTCTCTTCATGACCTTTGAGAGCCTTAGAAGGTTTAAGCAGCAGCCTGGTGCGATCTCTGAGATGTGGGGAGAAGGACTGGGATGAGATGGGGGAGGGTAAAGGCTGTGATGCTGCAGACTCTCTGCCACTGAGACATCTCTCTGAGGTCCTCTGACCCCGTGCCCCTGTGCAACACAGCCTCCCACCCCCAGGCAGAACCAGAGGATCTTCTCAGAGCACTGCCAGGGAAGCAGGCCAGCTGAGCAGCGGGTGGAGGTGCACGAGGATGGAAGGCAGATTACATGTCACTTCATATTAGCCACACCGGCAACTTTTCCCATCCACCCAGAGAGAGGCGAATTAATTGCAATTTTGAGGACAAGCCAACAGCTAAGATAACATCAAAGTGGAAGGCAACTGCATCTCCTTTTCAGTCATGAGCAGATTGGAATGCCCTACAGAGGGTTCGACTTGCTTACCTGTGAGGTACATCTCTTCCCCTTCTGTGAACATCTGGTGGCAGCGCACACATCTGGCACAGGTGGGGTGGTAATGCTTCCCTCCAGCCTGTGGAAATAAAGAGGTGAAATAGGATGTTAGAGTTGGGGCTACTGTCCAGAGGGCAGCTGTTGGTGTCTCCATATGCCCCACGGTTGGTTGGGAGGACCACCCAGGGGAACCCAGAACCATATGAGAGTCCACCTAGGAAGCTGGTGACTCCCTCCATGGATCCCTGATGGAGACTCAAGGGACTTTCATGGAAACCTGTAGGGGAAAGGGCCCTTCAGAGGCCACTGGTTCCACCTCCTCATTTCCAGGAGGAAACAGTCTCGTTTTGAGGACATCTCAGCATCTCCCCACACATGGGGCCTTTACTACTACTGGTACTGGAAATGGCTTTAAGTGACTCATGAACTTAAGATATGATGATATTCAACTACAACAAAGAAATAATCTCCTTTTAAATCTTCTATCAATTCTTCTGATTTTTATCAAAGACAAAGTACCAGTGTGGTGCCAGTACATATTTAATGTTTATCTAAAACATACTCAGCTCTTCTTTTAAGAATAAGAACAGGTGTGAGGCTTGCAGCCTCTATAAGCAATAGAATCTAGCTAGCACTATATTCAATTTGGAGTTATCTGAATGTGGCAAGTGATACAGGTTTTCCGGTATGTTTATAAGTTTTCTTGTATGTCAGTAAGGCCTCTTAAGGACCATTCTAAATATTAGGTAAGAAATATCATCCAAGAAGGTTGTGCCTCAAGGTCTCAATGGAAGCCAGTAGTGTCGGGAACAGACTGTGGGAGCAGCCACCAGCTCAATATTGCAGTCCATACCAATACATCTGACACTAACATCCCAGCTGGGAGGACTTGATGTGTAAGGGCCCTTTGGTGGTAACTCCCAATTTTTATATGGTGTGTGTGGGGGCAGGGACTAACTTGGGGAGTGGGGCTTGTTTGGAAGGAATATTTTGCATGTCAGGAGAGAGGGTTTTTTTTTTTTTTTTGGATCGGTAATAACTGGGGAAAACAGATGGATATTTGTTGGATATGGGTTGTAAGGTCTCCTTTCCAATTCACCACTCAAACTGATGCTAATGTGTTCCTTCTAACTCAAAAATTATAATTGCATAATAAGCCCTATTGTCAACCATTTTTTGGGGAGTGGGGCTGTTGGGATGGGCTTACCTATTCTGGAGATACTCAATTTATTCTAAAAACCTAGCAAGAATGTAAAACGGGAAGTTTTTTTTACAAAATTAAAAAAAATTTCCAACATCCTTTTTTCATTCTTGTTTGTTCATGTGGCTCCCACGAATGAGAAAATGTCCTTGTCATCATCCAACCAAACTACATTCAAACTTTAGCAGGAGCCTGCTGTTTTCCCAAGCTGGGAAGTTGTGGGACTGATTCTCTGGTATCATGACAAAGATAATAGGTTTAATTAGTAGCCTCTTCCTACTCTGTGTCTTTTTATCATTTCAATTATAGACCTTTTTCCCAGGATGACAACAGTGCTTTGGCAAAAGGGAAGCGTAACATCTTTCTAAATGTCACACCCCACCACTCCGCCCCAGCTGAAACAGGTTCTGTGCCCATCTCAGCAATCCTGGCCACAGGGGGTGTAGAAAACGAGTCAAGGGAAGGGAGGCTGTTAGAGCAGCCTGCACCCAAGTCAGTGAGATAAGACCACTGTGCCTGTTAACAACCGAAATCAAGGAAATGGTGAAGAAAAATGGCAGAGAGTTGGTACCCAAAAAGGGGGGCCCTGTTGGGAAGGACCGAGAATGGCGACCAAGGTGAGGAATGCAGCAACGAGCCCAGGTTCTGGTTCTCAATGGTGAGGACATGGACAGGGAAGGAAGGATGGGGACTGCCATTCAGCAGTCTTACTGAGCTGTCACTGAGGAAGGGATTATGGGATGGCCTGAGGAGTGAATGGGAAGGGCTGAGATTAGAAGGGGAGAAGCAATTTATTAAGTGCCTGAGGTGCATCGGTAATAAGCTGGGCCCTGCTGGGTCAACAGCACCAGAAACAGCACCAAGACTTTCTTTGGTGGGACTACCTATCTCCCACACCAGCCCATCTGGTGAAGTAGTGCTGACCCCACCAATAAGCATATTCTAATTCTATGGGCACAATGACTGACTCAGCAATGGGCCTGAAATTGTCCAGTCAGGGTCAGTCCCAGGATGTTTGCTAAGCTATTAGGAGAGAGGATTGCTTTCCTTGAGGAATGCTGGCTGATAGGATGTAGGCCTGCAGGGAATAGTGCCCAACATTCTCATCCCAAAGAAGAGCCTTCCTGAGAACAAAGTCAATGTAGAAGGAAGAGGAGCCGAGATAGCCAGAGACTTCAAGTAATTTTCCTTTAGGCACTAGATCCAGCTGTGCCTGAAGCCAGCAAGAGTTACTCCTGGCTTCATTTCCTTTTCAGCCTGAGCCATTTGAATATAGTTTCCATACTTGTAACCAGACAAGTCCTAACATATCCATTAGGAATAAAATGACAGTAGTAGTCTCTATTGACAGGCAAAGACTATGATTCAGGGCAAGTAACTTTCTTAAGGTTTCATGGCTAGAAGTGACACAATCTGAATCCAAGTCTGTTTCACTGCAACCATGTTTTTTGGCTTGACATCATGCTACCCCCAAACTCCCTGAGTAGCTTAGAGCTGTGAGCATCAGTGTGGGAACAGGAGCCTGAAGTCCTAGATTTTTACCCCTGTCCCTACTAGAAATGCTTCCTGTGACCCTGGAAAGGCAACCTCAAGTCTTGGGTCTCACTTTTCTCATCTGTAAAGTGAGGAGGTTGAACAAGTCTAAGTCTCTTCCAGCTAAAAAAAAAAAAAAAAAAAAAAAAATCAATAAGCCCAAGATGCTAATGGAGCCTTGTAAAAGTGGAATCAATCAAAACTCAGTTGCAGTTGCCTGGGAGGGAGAGATCACCACCATGCTAAACAACAGTGATGCTTGGGGAAAGGACAGGCACCATCAATAAAATGTTAAAGCAGCTGGGAAATGCTGGAACAGCTTACCCCCACAGTCCTGTGTATAATCGGAAGTCTTTCCTTCTCAAAAGAAAAGCCAGCTTTTGTGATGCCCCATTCCACTGACCCCACTACATCCTAGATGCCTCTTCCTCATGGTCACACAGGTGCACCCAGCAATTCTTCCTCAAGGGCACCTCTCTCCACACCCAACAATGTTTTACCAGCCCCCATGTCCCTTAACAGCTCTACAGAGTTTGGCCACACTCTGATTGACATCACCATATTTTTTGAAGTTCTGGCCTTTCACTGTTCCCTTCCCGCATCCTTGACTATCACTCTTCTTTCTCTGGTAACTCCTCCATCTTCGTAGGCCAGCTACTCTCCAAAGCCGGTTCCAGCCCCCCCCCCCGCCCCCCACTCCCACCTCCTGCTCTAGAGATCACTGACAACTCCCTTGGTGCTATTATTTAAATTTTATTGTTTTGCAATTGGCCTCTGCAGGCCGAGCTTTGTTTTTGAGCTCTGATCCATATTTTGGACTGTCTTCTCGCATCCTCCCTGGATTGCAATCACAGCCTGTCCCAAGGGGACCTTGGCACGTTTCTGCCCAGACCAACTTGTCTCTCTGTCATCCCCAGTTCGGCAGATGGAGACAACAGACTTCCTATCATCCAGGCTTGATATTTTGGTACAACTCTTGGCTTCTCTTTGAGTCCCCACATCTTCAAGTTACCCCATCACTGCAGAACTGTTGGAATTCTACTGCTATTGATGTTGGAGACAAAGATGGTTGCCCTGGTCATACGGTGGCCTCCTTGTTGGTCTCCTCTTTCAGTTTCCTTCCTTCAAATTTAGCCAGTGAACATCATCATGTTATCTTCTTGGAGGTGTGGCTTCAGCCAGGCCACTCCTACCCAATCTTTCCACAATTCCCCATTGTTTGAATCACACACAAACTCCTCGGTCCTGTATCCCAGGCCCAGCAGCATCCTGTGCTTTGCACTCCTTACTACCCTTGGAAATGCTTAATTCTTTAACCACTCAGTGCATTTGTTCATCTTATTTCCTTGGATTCCCTATAGTCAATTCTCCACATTATACTTTTAAAAAATATAATGTTATGTTGCTCCTTGGTTGAAAAACTTTCCAATGACTTTTCACTGCACTTAGTATAAAACCCAAACTCCTAAAGTTGGTCTACAAAGTCTTGTGAGATTTGCCCTCTATGATATATTCAATCTTCCCTTACCTTCTATTTGTGATTTCAGCCATGTTGGCCTCTTTCTCTGTTCTCTGCAGGGGTCAAACTCATTCTTCCTCTAGCTCATGTGCCGCCTTCCCACCCTCGAGCTTCTCTTCCGTGCATCTCCTTGGAGAGCTCTTTCTGATTGCCACACCATCTCCTGCTGAGCCAACATGTGGCACAGAGTCCTTCTCAGCTCAGCACACATGGTAACCACCATCAGCTGGCCAGATCTGGCAAAACTAGTATTTCTGCTCACAGTAGCTAACCCAGTCTGCCATAGCCCAGCCATTGTCAGACGAAAAACATCACAGGTCTCCCATCTAACAAGACTCTGCTGCGGATGTAGAGGTCACAAGTCTCTCATTTAATGCCACAATCTGAGTATGTAAGCAGTATCTGAATATGAGTTGTTAGCAGTAGAGTCAATATTAGATCTTAATGGTTCCTTCTTTTATGCTATTATTTTTTCCTTTGTACCCAACTCTTTTCTGCTTCTAATTTCTCAAGGTGAATAGAGAAGACAGCTTCCAGGTCACATAGTATATAAAGGAGGCCCAGGAAGGCCAGTGGATGGGGGCTCAGGCAAGGGCTCAGCAAGGTGCTGCAGGTTGTCTGTCACTGGCAGAGTGAAATGTGCATCAGAGGCTGGGAGAACTGTTGCCATGGTGATGGACCAGCCAAAGAAGGGCTTAGGGAGCAAGCTGCTAGACATGCTGGTTCTTAAATCAGCACATTACCAAAGACTTAAAATTTTTTTTTAAAAAAGCTTCCATCTTTAGGCAGGGCTGAGAGGAAAATCCTAATTGTTACTCCCCAGAAATATGTCTGGGTCGGAAGCCAAAGAAGCAACTGATTTTTCCAGCACAGCAATTTTTGAACCAGGAATAATTGTGTCAACTTTATCATTCTGGGGGTGTTCGGAGATCTTGGCAAGGTTATCTGTTTAAGGTCACGTAGCAAGCAAAGCTGGGGAGGTTTAGGCTATGAAAGAGGGGGTCTGGGGTGACTTTCTCTTTCCTTGGTGATGGCATTTTGGAGCCACAGACCATATTGCTCACGTATCTTCATGGTTACAAGGGCCCACTCACCTCCAAGACCCTGCCGCTGATGTATCGGTCACAGGTCTCACATTTAATGCCAAACTGGGAGTGGTAGTCAGACTCGCAGTATGGAACGCCATCCCTGCAAGAAGAAATTGACACAGGATGAGGAGGTTAGGGGGATCCCTGGGGGTGTCCTCTGGCAGTGCCAGGAACTGCAGCCTAAGGTGTCTGGGCTGGGGTTGGAAGTGCTTTGAGATCATTTAAAATGCAGATTCCTCAGATCCCCCTGGAACCATGGAATCAGAGAATCCTTGGGGTAGAGGGCCCAGGCATTGCATCTGGTAAGCTCCCCAGCACGGATGGCAGCTCTTGCTCTGGATGCTGGCCTAGGGTGGCCCTTTTCCACCCTCTTTCTTCCCCTCCCCAGGAGTTCTCCAGACCCATTCTCTTCCCTTAGCCCTCAAAAGACTCTGAAAATTATTTAAAACATCTAAGGGTTGTTTTATTTAGAATAGGTAATATTGGTATGTGACACAACAGTCTCAAGGCATAAAGGGAGAAATCCCCACCTTCCCTCCAGTTCCTCTCAGGGTTCCTTCCAGGAGGTAATGGATGTGATCAATGTTTTGCACATCCTTAAGGATCAAACATCTCACCTGTAGTGGAAGAACCATCTGGTTGTGCTGCAAGATCAGCAGCTTCCCCTGAATGCCTCCTACACGCTCTATTTCTACTCAGTGCTTTGGACTTAGCAGACAGAGGTGATTGCCATCGGTTATCTTACACTACCTCATACTACTTACACTACCTCTTACCACTAACACTTCTTGCTTGGTGTGTGCTGGGCTCTCTGGTGGTGTTTCACATTTAGTCCTTAGGGCAGCCCCATGGGCTCAATGATATTTCCCAAGGGGTGGACAAGGAAACCCAAGCAGGGAGTCGTTGAGTAACTTGTCCTAGGCCACCCAGGATGACAGGAAGCTGGGATCTGGATCCAGATGGTCTGGTTTCTCATCCAGGTTTACATGAGGATTAAAGGAGATAGGGCCAGTGTATCCAAGGGTTAGCATGGTGCCTGGCCCACAGTGGGTACTCAGCTCATGGCAGCAATTGCCAAGATTGCTTAGAGGGGATTTGGGGAAGGATGTTTGGTGCTCAACTCTCCAGAGCTGACACAGAAACAGTTGAGGACACTGGTGAGCTCAGCCCAGCCTTTTGGACCTACCTAACTTTAAGGAGTGGGACTGAACTCTGAGGAGAGAGGGATGTTTCCCCCACTTTTGAAGTTGGTTCAAAGTGTGATATAAAGGACAGACATGCCAAGTTTCTATCTCAAAGATGGGGCCATGCTGGGGCTTCTGGGAGCCCTGCCTGGGCAGCAGGGCAGCCAGCACTTCCTGAAGAAGCAACAAGGAGAGCTGAAGTGTGGCAAAGAACTGGAGGTGAGACTGTGCCCACAGAGCAAGGACTTACTTGTGACCCTATGAGACAAACCTCCTCCACTCCTTCAAACCCCCCAGCCCTCAAACAAGTTCTCACTCTGTTAGTACAAGAGGGCTACTTTGCAGGGGAAGCAAAAATTGTTCATTAGGAGGCAGGTCAATGAGCCAGAAAAATTTGGCTATAAATGCCAACACAACCTTATTTGGATGCCTGAGTTGGGGAGGCCTTAAGGAACTTGAAATGTCCCTGATTCTGAAAAGATAGATGGTAAAATGAAGATTTATTGGGCACTCATTAGGTACAAAGTACAGATCTCTGAGCCTTGACACATCCCTACCAGGAGTTGATCTTATTAAACCTATTTTTATAAATGAAGAAGCTAAGATTCAGAGCAGTTGAGTCCCTGGCCTAGGTCACACAGACTGGGCTTCTACTCTGGCATCTGATGCCATCACCACTCTGTCTCAACTAGGTGAGGAACCCAGAGGCAGACTGTAGAGGCGCCAGGTGTAGTGGGTAACCTGGGCTGGGCCTCCTTGAGAGGAACTCAGAGCAAGCTCTTACTGCCCCAGAGAATTTTGACTTGGGATCCCAGATTCAAGCACTCCTGGCTGATGACTTACTAAGGACACTCCTTCCTTGGCAGGTCCAGAGGGAAATGCCAAACTCCCACTGACATGCACTCAGAACTTTTGGTGACCCGACCTCAGCTCACCTCTGCAGCCTGGGACTCTGCTTCATCTCTGCACTCACTCGAGCTCCCAAATAGGGTGAGGGTGGGTGCTCCACACTCACCACCTGTCTTGTCTTGCCAGGCTAGGTATGCACACTCTCCTGTGCATTTTCAAATCTTACACCCTTTTCCAACATGCAGCCCAAAGACTATCACCTGCCACGAAGTTCACAGTTTCCAGACTCCACTTCCTGCTAATTAAAAGTGAGCCCTCATTTTTCTGAATGTTCACTGTCCTTCACTTGCACCTTGGACATAGGCAGGTGTTGTTTGGCTACCATCCATTTCCCCTTCTGTTGGTACCAGTTCTAGGATTTTCCTTTGGAAGACACTCCTTCACTTGAGGTTACTGTAGGTCACAAAGGCTGCTTGATGGCTCTAGGATTGTATCCTCCTTGCTAGTGGTCAATCAGAAATGGGTGTGTGACCCAAGGGTAGCCAAATCAGAGGCAGTCCTGGGATATTTGCTGAAGGTCTTGGGAAACAGGCCTCTGTCTGCTAGGCTTGCTAAGCTGATAGAAGGGGAAAAAAACCTGGCATTACTGGTTATTTTCTTTGCTACTTAGGGAGGGCCTGCTTGAGAATGAATTCAACATGGGGAGGGGTGGGGGGGGGTGGGAGAGAGAGAGATCTGTAGACATCTTTAAGTCCCTAGATGCAGCCATGCCTGAAGCCAGAATGCCTCTGAACTTTCAATTTCTGTGAGTTAATAAACTCCTGTTGCTTTTAAGTGAGTTAGAATTGGGTTCTCTGTCAGTTATGATTGAAAAAGTTTTATGATTTAAATTTCTCATGAACTCCTTTCATATACCCTGATTCTTCATGCATACAGCCTATCTCCCTTATTAAACTGTGTCTTGAAAGCAGAAACTATATATACAGCAACACTACACGCTCACCATCTCCTGGCATCAGGCCACATATGGGCCTAGAAAGTATCTGGGGTCAGAAGCTTTTGGGTACTTTAGTATATACATGTGGTAACTAGGATCTAGCAACAAGGGGGCTTATTCAAAGCTGCAGTGTGCAGTTTTCTGGGGGTTGGCTCCTCTGTCCCAATAGCTTTATGTGTCCATCATCTCCTCTTATCTCAGTTAAATACATTCAATAACTATATTATTGACAATGGTCAGGCATTATTGACTATGGGAAGAGGACACCAGAGTGACTAAACAAAGCCCCTGTCCTGGTGGGAGGAATAAACACCACCACTAGAGTAAGTTACTCCCCTGAGTCTTAGTATCCCATGGAGACAGACCCCTTGTGGGGGTAGTTAAGGGGGTTTAATGTGATAACCCATCCACAGCAGTTAATAACTTCCTTGCACATAATAAAAGTCCAGTAAATGGTAGTTAGACTTGTAAACATTATTAAAAAGTTACAACAGATAAGTATATAATTATAAATGTTGGCAGCCCTGCAAAGGAAACAAGCAGCAGTCTGAGGGCCGGGGCTGGGGGAGTGGAGGTGGGGCGTGGCGTAGAGGGCACCTCTGAGCAGGAGGCATAGAAGGAGCAAGTGCTGAGAGGGGCCAGACCACCACAGGCAGAGGGAACAGTGTGTGAGGGCCTGCCGGCGGAAAGAGGCTTGTAGCTCAAGTGTGGCAGCAAGGAATGAGGAGGGGTGATGTTGGAGATTCAGCTAGGGGCTGGATGGGGAGGCCTCGGTGGACACAGAGGCCCAGGAAGCAGGGACCGGCAGGGAGAGGGACACCCACTTGCTGATGTACTCCCCGGTGAGGATGACACTGCAGGTCTGGCACTTGAAGCAGCTGACGTGCCATTGCTTGTCCAGCGCCAGGAGTGACTGGCCATGCTTGATCTCCTCCTTGCACCCTGCACAGTCTGCAAAGACAAGAGGACACTGCTGAGTAAAACGCCCTGGGATTTTTGGCCCTCCTGCCATCAACTCATGCCCCCAGCAAGGGACTCCCCCCTCACCAACACGTTTTCCCACCTTGGCATTGGCAGCTTCCCAGAGACCCTACTAGGGAAGAGAAAAGGCCCCTGGAGACCTGGCCTGTCCACAGGGGACTTGGTGGAGGGGAGAAAAAGACCTTCCTGCTTATCATCGTGTCTGCAGCTCATCCACAGCGGTCCTGCGCTGCTTCTTCCCTCCTCTGGTTGGTAACTGAGGTTGTGCATCACTCCATGATCTTGACACCTACAGCATCCCTATTTTCTTGGAACTTGCAGCATGTGGCATGGCAAGCCCCACCCAGACCTGGGGATTTCAGCAAGATCTCTGAGTCCCGTGAAGTTTGAGAGGCACCCCTTCTGGGGATAGTCTGCTTTCTTTTTCTCTCTCCTGTCTGTACACTCAGTGGCAAGGGCCACATCTGTGTTTTGAGGGTGAATTTTTCCTTCGCCTGGCATGGTGCTCAGAGAATGGTAGTAACTCCAAGCCTGTCTGCTGAAGGAGTACAAACAGGTGGCCCTTACAGTGCTCAGCAAAGGATAGAAGTCACCACACCACCCCTCCCTTCCCCAATGTGCTTATACAGCAAACATTTGCCTCCCAAGAAGCAAAGATTAGAGTCTGATGAATCTTCTGTCCCAAACCAGAACTGTCCCCTCACTCCCTGTCACTATCACTCTGGAATGTGTGTTGGGGCCAGCAGAATGTGGGGCAGGCCCAGCGGTCTGCTCGTTGCTCAATGAATGTCTGAGGAGGGGAGGGGCAGGAAATGGAGCCAGCGGCCAAGGTACTTGGGAGATGCTGGGAATTCAGGCCTAGCTGACCGGATGGCCCGCTTTAGAGGAGGACAGGGTCACGGGGCAAAGTTTACCAGAGGGCAAACCGCCCTGTTGGCGCCACACGGACAAATGCGCACTTTGTAACAGTGAGGAAAAAGGGGTCGCATGTAGAGTTGGGGGAGCCTGGCTGGACAGTCCTCAATCCTGCTGGGAGCCTGTCCTGGGAGAGAAAATGAAGTGACCCTGTGTCCAGCTGGCTGTGAGGAGGGGCTAGTCCCGAGGAGTGAGGTGCTCAACCTCAATGCACACACTGCAGGCCTCTGGTCAAGTTTTCTAGGCCACAGAGACCGAACATTTTTGTCTCTGTGAGACTTCCCAGTAGGATTTAATAATTCTATAGGGGCTTTAAATTCACAGAGCACTTAGTCAAATATCCCAGCCAGTGCAGGAACTTGTCACATGATTGACAAGTGACCCCCCCCCCCCCCCCCCCCCCGCTTAGTCATGTCAGGGGTAAGCCATTCAGCCCTTCTTGAGGAAGACCACTCTGTTTGGACAGGAATGACTGCCATGGATTCCGTCTTTATGTGGAGCTGATGCCACCTCCAGTGATTCCCCCACTCTTATACAAATTAGAATAATCATCTTTTCCTCACATGTCATTTCCTTCAAATAAAGACAAGTAGGGCTTCTTGGTACCCTTCCTTGTGCTTCACTTGCTATGGTCATCACTGGTCTAGTTCACTTGTGGAGGCCAGAGAGGAGTGCCTGCTACTGGCCAACGAAACAGTCCTCCACTTTGTCAATAAAACTTATTTAATGGCTGCACTGTTCCATGGCCACCTTCCAGTGATGAGTCCCATCTGCTGCATTAAAGTGAAAATCTGACATGAATTTAGCATCTTGAGCTAAAATTTAGGAGCCAGTACAGTGCAGTGGTTAACACTTCAATGAGAGGTTGAGTGAGTGAGAAGCTGGCCTAGGTGAGAACCATCTAGTCGTTTGACCTCTGAGCCCTGGTTCCCTCATCTGAATTCCTTCCTTTTGATCAGCAGGTATAAGTAACATTATGTATCCATAAATGGTTAGTGTATTATTTCACACTCTCCTGTTTTTAATCCACATCCCAAGTGATGCTTGATCTCTGATCTGAGGCTACAGGCAACGCTCCTCTGCAGTGATGCTCTGCTTAGTTCTGGGATGCCTTCTCTGTGTTTCTTTTCATGATTCATTGCTGGGCCTCCATTGTACTGGTTTCATATTTATCTGGATGGTTTTCTTCCTCCTTTCCTTCTTGACTACTGGTGGAGCTTCAGACACCCCATCTGGGAGCCCATGGATCTGGTGCCATAAGCAGTCGTGAGAACCGCACCCTATACTGAGTTGGTTTCTGCAGAGCCAGCTGTCCACTCCTCACATGTTCCTCTCCATTCCAAAATTATGATCATTATCTGGTAGAAAGTCTGATGCCTCCACCTGTTCCTCCCAAGTCCCTCAGTTTATTACTGCAGCCTCTAAAGACCTTTGGCCACCATTTTTAGTTTCGTTTACTATGTCATTCATTCCACTTAGATGAGCAAAAATAAGTGGGTTTTTTGAGTCACAGCAAGCTACCCAATTTGTTCTAGGTAACTAATCCAGGAAGATATAACCCTTCCAATTAGCAAGTCATGTTTCTGGTATAGGGTGTTAGCAGAATACCTCCAGAATCAGGCTGCTTAGTCTCTTGTCTTATTATCTGTGTCACTTTGGAGAAACCATTTAGGCCCTTTGAATCTGTAGTGATTAAATAAAATTTTTGTGTAGCATATTTAGTGCAGTTGCCTGACAATGGTAATAATCAATGCTGATGGTGATACTGGCATTGATAGTGATGGGGGAGTTGGTAGTGATAAGCAGTGATGATGATGTGATGCTACAAATGATGGTGATAATGTTGTGATGGTGATGGTGGTAGTAATGAAGGTGACACTGATGCTAATGTTAGTTATGGTGATGATGATGGTAGTGATGGTGGTGATGGTGATAATGGTAGTAGTGGTGGTGTTAAGTGATGGTGGTGGTGATGGTAGTGGTGGTGATGGTGTGGTATTAAGTGATGGTGGTGGTTATGGTAGTGATGGTGGTGATGGTGGTGGTGTTAAGTGATGGTGGTGGTGATGGTAGTGGTGGTGATGGTGTGGTATTAAGTGATGGTGGTGGTGATGGTAGTGATGGTGGTGGTGATGGTAGTGGTGGTGATGTTGGTGGTATTCAGTGATGGTGGTGGTGATGGTAGTGATGGTGGTGATGGTGGTGGTGTTAAGTGATGGTGGTGGTAATGGTAGTAGTGGTGTTAAGTGATGGTGTTAGTGATGGTGGAGTAGTGGTGATGGTGGTGGTATTAAGTGATGGTGGTAACGATGGTGGTGATGGTGGTGATGGTGGTGATGGTGGTGATGCTGATGCTGTAACTGCTGCTGATTCTTCTCTGTGAGATCTGAGGAGACGTTTCTTTTTCCTCTGGTAAGTAACATGATTCTTTCTTCTTGACAGTTCCTGAGTATTCTTCTTGATCTTTTTTGAGCAAACACTGCTCCTGTTTTTCAAGAATATCTCTATTTACCCTCCAAAGATAAAAACTCCACACTGCTGTAGCTTAAGGAACAGAAACAACAGAAAACAGGTTCTTTTTCCTTTTCCATGATATGTTCTTCTTGGCAATCTCTCAGACCTGGCTGATCTCTTGGCTCTCCTCTCTTCTTTGGGAACTCAGGAGGACTTCCAGCATGCCCTCTAGTCAGCCCCCCTGGCATTTGCAGCATGAACAGTGACCACCTAGGAGAAAATCCTTCTACGAAATATATGTGGATCCATGGATTGATGTGTGTGTGTGATGAATAATGACAGAAGCTACAATCCTAAAAGCTCCTCCTGAAAACTGTCCACAAACTCGATTTCCCTCACATTTCTCTGTCTCCTACTCTGCAAAATTATGGTAGAGACATTTAGGAGTCTCTCTTTGAAAAGAGTTCACATGTGAGACTCCACATTTGGCTGAGGAAATCTCCCTCTGGCCAGACCCCAGCACACAGAAACATTAGCACAACCTGACAGAAATAACAGGAATCTTAATCTCAGTGCTCCTTTGGTGTGCTCACTTTATATTTCACTCGCTACAGTGTATATTGTATGTTAGCTCAATTCTTACATACTAATATATTCACTTTCTACAACAATCCTGAGAGGGTGATAAGAAATTCCATCCCTCGTTCAGAGCTGGGTAAACTGAGTCTCAGGAAGTCGACATGACTGATTTTGTTTCATGCAGAAGGTTGGAAGGCTCCTGACTCAAGCTTGCCCTGCTCTCTACTGCTTTGCATGTTGTTCCACTGGCCTCTGGGGTTCTCAGTGGCATCAGTCACAGGCCACAGACCTGCAATCCTAGCCTCTGACTGTTTCTGGATGATGTTTCCAAGGAGTTACGAAGGATAACAGCATGTACACTCAGCCACCTTGAGATGGAAACTTGGTTAGAACAGCAAACTGTTCTTGGGCATTGCCAAGGACACTGAAGGAAGGCTGCTGCACATTCTGGGAACACGTTCCAGTTGACTGAAGGGAAGGGAAAGCAAGGGAGGGAGCCATTCTCTACCCTCCTCTTGGTTGACCATGGCTGGGCAGACTCTAATGGAGCCCCTGGGAACTGAACCCTGCTGGCTTGAGGTGTTCTCTGCTCACCCTCCTAGATGGGATGCAGCCCCCACATGCTGACTCTGCTGGGCCATGTTTGGCAGCCCCTGTACCCGCACCATGATACAGCCCAAGAGGCTAATGGGTTTTCATTGATTCTCTCCATGAGGCCAGCCAGTGTCATATAACATGAAAGCACATTGGAGCCTAATGTGGCTGACGGAGACCCAGGGGGCTGATCTATGTGTGTGCAGGCATATGAAGTCAGCAGTCTGACAAGGGCATCTGGGAATGGTAATTTAGACATCTTGTTGCTAGGCACACTTGAGTAGGATGGACTTCCACCAGGAAGATGAATGCTCCAAGATACACTCTCGATCCTCACTATCCCCCCAATCTGTGGTTTGGTGATAAAACATAACATGGCACATCAGCTGCCCCTCAGCCCTACATAATGGTTCCCAATTTTAGGAATAGCAAATGTCTCACACAGAAAGCTTACTAAGAGGGTTGACTCTTACAGTCCATCCCTAGAGGTACAAGGTGAGCCCAGAAATTTGCATTTTCACAAGTTTCACAGTGAAGCTGATGCAGGGGGCAGGGGTCCATGGGACATTCTCTCCAAAGCACTAGCCCAGTCTCTTGCTTGCTCCCAGGTGCTCCCTACTTCCTCTGTGAGACATGTCTGAAAATTTTTTCTTCGTGGAGTTTGTAAAAATTGAGGACCACTGGTGACAAAAGACTTGATCAACCCTGTCACAGTGTCACTGGGACATAAGAGCAGGTACCTAGCTTGTCCCAGAAGAGAGCCACCCAAGTGACTGATGAAGTGGCACTGGCCATCAGAGTTTCCAGTTGGGCAGCCCGTCTTCCCTGTAGTATGTTCGTAGAGCTGTGTGTCTGTCTGGGCTCTCTGCCAACTGGGTCACACTTAGGAATTTCCAGGGTGGGAACCTCCCCTGCTTCCTTTTAGGCCTGTGGGAGTGGTGGACAGTGACTGAACCGAGGAACCTATGGAGGTGCGCCCCTGAAGAGGAGGTGCCCGGTGGGGAGGACTCACGGCTTGGTCCGCGGATCTTGATGGGCTTACTGCTGGTCATAGACTGGGAGCAGGTCTGGCACACACATTCTTTACCACTGAAGGTCACCTTGTCTCCAATGGGGAACGGCTTCCTGCAAGGGGGACAAGGAAGAAAGTCAATGCTTCCTCTCCTGAGATTTTGTGACTATTGGTGACCTGATAACACACATGCTCACAGCAATGCATGAACACATGCACCTTGTCTTTCTAGAGCACCAGGCAAATTCAAATGCTGTTCACAGTGACAGGCTGACTAAACCACTCAGTGAGGGTCCTGGAGGTCAGAACTGGAGGTCCCCAAGAGCCATTCATATGATTTGACACTGGACAAATCATGCTGCTTATCTGGGCTTACATGTTTCAATTTTAAGGGGAAGAGGCTACTAACTCCTCACGGAGTGGTTCTTCTTCCTGGAAGGATATTTTTCCATCACCACTTGACCTCCCCCATATGAAAACAAAATAATTCAATTTCTGAACTTACTGAAATTTCTTCCTTTCACTATCCAGACATTTCTCAAAATCTTCTACCCCAATGGGGAGTTTATAAGTCCCCAAATAACCCTTTCCCCTCCTACTCTGTATTTGCTCAGTTTGCTCAGCCCAGACTCAAGCTCATATAGATCCTGCCTCCCCAACAAAATTATCAGCCATATACAGGATTCCCACACTGTCAGTTGCCTTGCTTGGCTCTTCTTGCTTCTCCTACAGTTTGGGACATCTGTCCTAGGATCTGTAAGCATAAACCCTGGCAAAGGCTTCCAGCATTTCCCCTGTCCTTGTATTTGCAGTGTGGGACAATGCAGGGGATGCTGGGCAGGAGGCTGGGGAGCCATGCTCTCACTGTGGCCTAGCCACTAACTCATGGTAGAAAGACACAGTGTTAAACTTTGCCTTGTGCTATATGGATCCTCTGTGCTGACCTCTGATGGGTCTGGAATCCTAGAACGCAGGGCTCAGGTCCTAAGAGATAGATGAATGAATGAATTTAATTGACTGATTATATTTTCTTACATAGTCTCCCATTAATCTCAATCAGAAACTCCAATTGGTTAATTCCTCTAGCTGATAACTAACCAGTGGCTATTTTTTTTGAGAATAATAATCAATCTATAAATTCTTTTCCCAACTAAAAATGCAGATATACTTCAATCATGCTTTACTTATTACTTAATCAGAGATGTCCATTAAATTTTAATGTATTTGTGGGCAGGATTGAGGATTTTCTTTATTTTTTTTCATCTCCTTAATGTGGTGCTTGGCATACAGTAGACTCTTAATGTACCTTTGCTAGATTAACAAGTGACTGAGATGCTGGGGTGGAGAAGGGGGCAGGGAGGTGCTCTCCATCTTTGGAGAGGTCTTGAGAGAGGCTAGATGGTTATCATGACAATGAGAAGAATAATAACAGACACACTATGCACCAGTTACTGAGCTAAGGTCTTTGCATTCAGCATCTCACTGATCTTCACAAAAACCAAATGATGTTGCTGTGGTTTTGAGCCCTTATTACTGATAGAGAAACTGAAATGTATAGAGGTGGGGTCCCTTACTAGGGTCACCCTGCCAGCAGGAGATGGTACTGTGGTGGTGGAGGAAGGCTATAAACAGACATCCTTGTACCACCTGTAGATTAAGTCACAGGAGCCTGAGCCAGATTTGTGTTTCCAAACTGTATTCCAAGGGACCAGGGTACTTAGTGGTTTTTTGGGGTATAGGTGGAGCTTTTGATAGGAATGGGAGACTGAATATGGAGCTCGGATTCTCACTCTGCTTCCACCATAGGATGAACTAGTGTTTTACATCAGACTGCACGTGAAGGGAGGGATTCAGCTGTTAAAAGGTTTGAATACCACTGGTCCTTCAGATCCTTTCGTCCTTGCAGTCCTTGAGGTCAGGTGTCTAGCATAAGCCCAGTAAGCCCCAGAACTTTTGTTTGGGAATGGCCATGTCTTCCCCTTCCCTGGGGCTCAGCCTAAGGGCCCAGGCCCTGTTGGCCACCTGCTGACCTGCACAAGCTGCACACGAAGCACTTGGGGTGGTAGGTGCGGCCCAGGGCGGAGATGACCTCTCCTGTGATGAAGTCCCGGCAGCTGTCACAGCGGGTGCCATAGAGTTGCTGGTAGTCCTGGGTGCAGATGTACTCCTGGTTCTTGAAGAAGAAGCCCGACTGGGCCAGGCCACAGCCACACACTTGGGGAAACAAGGAGAAAACAAGGGCAGGTTGAGTCCAGGGAGGTCTGCAAGCGTGAGGTCCTCACGGGGGGGAAGGCTGGTATCTGATTTTGTCATGAGTGGCCAGAGAATGGTAGCAAAACAGGCCTCGTGGGGCTTTGGGGCTAGTGTTGCCTTACAGTATGGCCTACAGACCACCTGCATCAGAGTCATGGGGGAGCTTCTTTAGAGGCAGATGCCTGGGCCTGGTCAAGCTCCCTGGGGCAGGGGCATGGCATCTGCATTCTGCACAGTGCCTAGCCAATGCTAATGCAACACCATGGATGTGGTACAATCCTTTCAATATACTCAAGTTTAAGGCCCTGTGACTCATGCAGTGCTGATAGTATCGTGAATTATATAAAAGAATCACTCAGTTAAAATTCTCCCCGCTACTTCCTAGGTGCATGATGCTGCCAGGTGAATAGCAGCGTGGAGACCACATGCTCCACATCCCAAATGGCAGACAACTTCTGATGGCAATGGGATGGTTAGTTCAGTCTCTAATCTATCCTCACCACAGCCACAGAGGATTGGTCTGTTCCCAGCATGAATGAGAAAACACTCCCTGAACTGCAAAGAGCTAAAAATGTATGCAGAGAAAAGATCACACAGAAAGATGCCACATACCCAGAGTGATGGGCCCTGGGGTAGGTTCATGCAGTAAATACTGTGGGTAAGAGTGATGTAGGGACTGGGGTAGGGGTGGTATTTGTAGGGAGTAGAGGGAAGTCATACAGGAAAAGGGTTTTTAGACATGTTTGAGGAAGGGCTCAATTCAATTTAAGAAGTTCAGGCTTTGTGGGGTACTGAGAAGCCACAGCAGTTTTATCCCTAGTTTTAAGGGGGGGGGGAATCTCAAACATAAACAAAAGTGGAGAGGTATAATGTTACCCATCATCTTGTTGCCAAAATGATCAATTGCACTGATGAGCCATAATATGAATTTGTTAGATATTTCATAAGTTCTCTTGGAATGTTCTTGTAGACATTATGAAGAAATAAATAGAAGTTAGATAATAGAAGAGGTAGATTTATAAGTGTCTGAACAACTGAGTTATGTGGGAACGAGCTCCAATAAAGGACTTTGACATATGGGAAATAAGATTTTCTCATAAGGAGTTAAGTTATGAAATCAAAACATCATGGGCAGAATGTCAAGAGGTGAGGTTTCTTCCATAGAAACAAATGGCTCCCAGGGCCAACAGAAGAACAGCAACTCACGGAGTGCATTTGTGCAGCTAACGTGAGGATGGATCCCTCAGGAAGGGGCTGGTCAGCAGCTAAGGGAAAGCAAATGAATCCTCTTTGAGTCCTGTGGCCAGCTCCCATGTTCTTAGCCTGCCCTCACCAGGAGACTGCTTGGCAGCTTGGCTTTTCACATAGATAGCCTCTGGGAGGGGACAAGTTAGCTGGGCCAACACAAACTAGTCCAAGGGGAGAGTTACAGCTCTCACACACATTAGTGAACAGTTACTATGGTCTTTCACATGGGTTTTCTGAGGATTTGGTTACTATACGTCGACATTTTCAGGAGGGATCAATGGTGAGGGAAATCAATGAGGTAGTTTCCCAACCCGAAGATCTGAGGAACCAGCCTGGAATCAGACAAAATCACCCCAGCAAATAACACGTCATCATTGACTGGGAAAGTTGTTCTGCAGAAGAAGCCAGAATAAAAACAGGAAAGATTTCCCAGGTGAATGCCAGAAATATTTCGCAAGTGTTTATTCACCTCTGTAGGTTAGAGGAAGGCTTAAAGGGCCAGGGTGAGGGAGAGAGAGGTGGCTCCAGAAATCACAGCAGGACAGTTGGAGATGGGGATCAGACCTCTGGACTCCAGGCTCATCACTGCCGTAAGTCTCCGGAAGGCAGTGAATGCGGTCCTTCCTTCCCTGGGGCCTCCGTTCACTTCTGTGCAAAATGAAGAGGCTGAGCTTTTCCTTCACAGCTGACCTCCTGTGAGTCCATGAGAAGGACTTCCTCAGGGTGTACCGTGTGTCTGAACATTTTAAATTCACTGTGGAGTCTTGCTTGTGGCCCCCAAGCCACCCCTGTGAAGAGGCAGGGCCATGGTGGGGACAGTGGTGACAGGAGGTGGGGGAGGGCTCATCTTCCACCAGGCATCATGAGAATTCATCATATCAAACAATGCCTAGTCCCCAGAGCAGACTAAGCCAGAGTACAGGCTGTCCTGGGTGTGCAGGTGGCGGATCAATTGCTTCGTGGAATTAGTTGGATCCTGGCCTACGACCTCATTGGAAATAGTTCCTGTTTTTTCCCTTCTTTTCTCCCCTTTGTTTTCCCAGCTAACTCCACCCTCAGAGCTACCTCTCCCAGTACAGAAAACCAGGAGGCCACAAGAAAACTTGGAACGACCAATTCCTCCATTTCCCCCCCAAGGAGCTGAAGGAGGAAGCTTTTGGTAAAAAGGATGTCACGGTTGATAAGAGTCTCAGGGGTTCCTGGAAATACAGTGGAGAATACAGGGATAAAAGGTATGTAGCAAGCAGTATGAGCATGACAGATGTGTTTGAGGCTGAGCAGAGATGGAAATTCAAATAACAGGAAGGTCATGAAGAAGGTTAGCAATATAGATTTAACAGAACTAGTGTATCCAGGCCAGTCATTATTCTGTGAATCAAAAAAAAAGTCTATTAATTAAATAAAACAAAAGTAAATACTATGGTTGGACAATAGGAAAGATTGTGCAAAGTTAAAACAGCATGGTATTGGCACCAAAACTGGCAGGAAGATCAATGGAATGGAATAGAAGACAGAAAATACCCCATAAACACAGTTATCTGATATTAGACAAAGGTGCCAAAAATATACATTGGAGAAAAGATAGCCTTTTTAACAAATGGTGCTGGGAAAACTGGAAATTCATATGTAGTAGAATGAAATTTAACTCCTATCTCTCACTCTGTACATAAATCAACTCAAAGTGGACCAAAGACCTAGAAATTAGACCAGAAACCCTACGACTGCTAGAAGAAAATGTAGTCCCAATACTCCAATAAGTCAACTCAGGAATCAACTTTCTTAACAAGACTACTAAAGCACAAGAAGTAAAATTTAAAAAAAAAATCAATAAATGGGATGGCATCAAATTAAAAAGCTTCTGCACAGCAAAGGAAACAATTAAGAGTATGAACAGAGAGCCTCCAGAATGGGAGAAAAATCTTTGCCACCTGTTCCTTAGGGCATTAATATCCAGGATATGCAAAGAACTCAAAAAAGTTAACGTAAAAAAACAAAAACAAAAATCCAACCCAATTGATAAATGTGCAAAGAAATTAAACAGACACTTCTCAAAAGAAGAAATATGAATGGTCAACAAATATATGAAAAAAAAAGTTCAACACCTCTAGCAATTAGAGAAATGCAAATTAAAACTACATTGAGATTTCATCTCACTACAGTCATAATGGCAATTATCTAAAATACAATGTCGGGGAAAGGGTACGCTCATACATTGTTGGTGGGACTGAAAATTAGTGCAACCACTCGGGAAAGCAGTGTAGAGATTCCTCAAAAAACTAGGACTGGTACCAATATATGTCCCAGCTATCCCACTCCTAGGTATATATCCAAAATATTTAAAATCTACACACTACAGTGTCCTAGCCATATCAATGTTTATAGCAGCACAATTACCAATAGCCAAGCTATGGAGCCAACCTAGGTGTCCTTCAACAGATGAATGAATAAAGAAAATGTGGTATGTCTACACACAATGGAGCATTACTCAGCCATAAAGTGGAATGACTTTATGGCACGCGTCAGTAAACGGATGGAACTGGAGACTATCATACTAAGTGAAATAAGGGAGTCAAAGGTGGAATATGTTCTCTGATATGCAGAAGCTAATCCAAAATAATGGGGGGGTGGGTGGGTAAAAAAAAGAATAGAAGAAAGATCAGTGGAGTACACAAAGGAGGAGGAAAAGTAGGGAGGAGGGGTGGGATAGAGAAAGACAGTGGAATGACCCGACCTTGTTTTTCTATGTACATATATGAATACACCACATTGAATCTCATCATCGAGTACATTCATAAGACAATAATAATAAAAAAAAAACTATAAGTGTATAGCAGAAAGATCAGTAGAGTGGAGGGAAGGGAACATGGGGAGGGAGAAGGGGAGGGGAAGGGGAAGTACTGGGGACTGAATTAGAACAAATTATATTCCATGCTTTTACAATTATGTCAAAATGAATCCTATTGTTACATATAACTAAAAATAACCAATTGAAAAAAAAAAGAATTGGGAAAATACAGAATGAATGCTCACTGTAAATAGAAGAAAGCACGGGGTTTCAGGGCTTACTGGACCTTTGTCCCTAGTCCTGTTCTGCAACTCAGGTGCATGTGACTTGAGAAATTGATTTCACTTTCTGGAGCTCATTTGTAGAATGAGGGCGGGAGGTAGTAACAGAGGGGCACGTTCAGATCTGAAAGCCTAGCATTCTGCCATATAGTTCTGCTGATTTTCAACTTTTCAGATGAGATTAGATTTTATGAAAATTTCAAAATCAGAAGTGCCTCCAAGGGTGATCTAATTCATTTATTTGATACATTTTAATTTTAAAATAGATATAGATAAAATATATAAAATATATTTGTACAGTTTAAAGAGTAATAAACACACACCTATGTGCCCCCTACCAAGTTTATTAAATAGGATGTTACTAGTGCCACAGAAGCCCGTTTTCCTCACCCTAGACCTCCTTCCCACACTGTCCCTAATCGTGTGTTTCATCCCTTTGTTTTTCCTTATAGGTTTATCCCTTGTGACGAATCCACTAACACTATATTGTTTAGTGTGCCCTGTGCTTGAGCTTTATATTGATGGAATATTTCTGCACTTATTCTTCGGTGCTTGCTTCCTTTGCTCAGTATGGTATTTGAGACTCACCCATGTCAATGCACGCAACTGCAGTTCATTCATTTTCACTAGGCTGGTGCTTTCCATAGACTGAATAAATCACAATTGATCTATTCCACTGTGGAAGGACATGTGAGCTGGGTGCATTTTTTTAAAATTTTGCTTTTATAAAAATGCTGCTGTGAATCTTCTTGTATTTGTGAGGTGATGACTATTTTCTATTTTGTCCCCCACTTATATTCCACCAATAGATCCCCTGATCCATTTCCTCACATACTTGGGAACATTTGACCAGTCAGACATGTGAAATTCACAATAAGGGCTGGGGATGTGGCTCAAGTGGTAGCATGCTCGCCTGGCATGCGTGCGGCCCAGGTTCGATCCTCAGCACCACATACAAGCAAAGATGTTGTGTCCACGGAAAACTAAAAAGTAAATTTAAAAAAAAAATTCTCTCTCTCTCTCTCTCTTAAAAAAAAAGAAATTCACAATAAGAAGATAATAAATAAATAATGTGAATTTCACAATAAAGTATGTGTGAAATTATATCTTATTATGTTTTTAAATTCCACATCTCTTAATATTAATGAAATTGAGAATCTTTTTATATGCTTACAGGCCATTTGTATTTTCCCTATTGCAAAATGTTTGTTGATAACTTTGCCCACTTTCTTTGAGACTTGTAGAAATTCATTACATATCTTAAAAATGAATTTTTCCCCATTGTTATTACAAATATTTTCTGCAATTTGAGGCTTGTCTTTTTAGTCCTTTTTTTTTTTATGAACGGAAGTTCTCAGTTTTTGTGTTGTTGAATTTATCACTTTTCCTTTATGATGTGTACTTTCTTTATCGTGTTTAAGAAATTCTTTCTACTCCCCAGTCCCAAAAAGATATCTTCTACAATGTTTTCTAAAAACTTTATTGTGTTTCTTTTCATATCTCAACTGTTAATTCATCTGGAATTGACATTAGTGAATAGTATACAGTAGGGATTCAATTTTCCCTCATATGGATAGTTAATCATGTCAGTTTCATTTATCAAGCAGTTTAATTGTTCCCCACTGATCTGCAAAAAGCATGTTTCTACACGTGTGAAGGTTTATTTTGGTTCTCTGCTCAGTTCCATTGGTCTATGTATCTGTCTTTTGTCTGAGACACACTGCTGCAATAATTTAAACAGTCATAATAAGTGTATGATATCTGGTAGGACAGGCCTCCTGCCTGAGTTGCTTGTTCTTTAGAGGCAGATGAACCCTGGGCAAATGGTATTTTGCCAAAAATACAATTTTAATTTATTTTTAAATTTCTATGGAAAACCTTAAGGAATGTATTAAAGTTGCCTTGACCCTACAGTTCACTAGGGTAGACATGTTATATTGATATTTCTTTCTTTCATTTAGGTCTTCTTCAATATCTTTCTTATGATGTTTTATAAATTTTAAATTTTATAATTTCCATCATAAAAGCTGACATGAATTAATAAGATTTATTCTTAAATTTAAAAAATTCTTAATGTAAGTGGTTTCTTAGTTATTAATCCTATATAGAAGTGAAATTTTCTTTTCTATATTTATTCTTTATCCAGTACACTTGATAAGCTCTTTATTGATTTTCTTTTTGGCATTAGTATTTAGTACATCTCTAAAATATTAGGACTCTTCTCCAAAACTAACTACAATAACCTAAAAGCATTAAAAATAATATCTTTTTTTTTCTTTTGCATAGAGACCTAACCAAGGTCCACATATTGCATGGCTGATACGCCTCTTAAGCATCCTTTAATTGCCATGCTCTTTTACCTCTTATTTCCTCTTTGCAATGTATTTATTGCAGAAACTAGGTCATATCTCCTCTAAAAATTTCTCACAGTTTGGATTTTGCTGATTGTGTCCCAGTGGTGTTGATGAACTTGTTCCCCTTTCTCTTGTGTTTCCTGTAAATTGGTGGTTATGTCTAGAAATTTGAACTAAGATTCAGGTCTGTTTTTAGCAACACTGATATTTGCTGTTGTGTATTTCTATAATTTAGGGGTAGTGGTGATTCATAGGAATGGCTGCTATTGATTACTACCTTGATGCATCATTTTCTTACAGGTTTGCAAAATTAAGGTGTTCTAATTATTTAATTTTTTTCTTTTACTTGGTAGAATGTTTCCTTAGAAAATTTCCTTCATCAACCCTTTGCTTACATTTAAGTACATTTTGTACAAAGTACAACAACTGTTTGATTTTTCTTGACCTATAGAACTTGTTTCAGAATAATTACTAAAAAATTTTTAATTTGTTTTAATTAGTTATACATACAGTAGATTGCATTTATGCATTTTGATATATCATACATAGATGGGATATAATTTTCTCATTTTTCTGAGTGTACATTTTGTGGAATTACATTGGTCATAGAGTTACATATATACATAAAGCAAAATGTCTGTTTCGTTCTACAATCCTTCCTATCCCCACATCCTCTCTCCTTCCCTCCCTTCATTTCCCTCCACCTAATCTAAGGTAGCGCTATTCTTCCCTAGTTCCCCCCACCTTATTGTGAATTAGCAACTGCATATTAGAGAAATCATCCGGCCTTTGGTTTTTCAGGATTGGCTTATTTTGTTTAGCATGATATTCTCCAACTGCATCCACTTACTGGCAAATGCCATAATTTCATTCTTATTTAAAGCTGAGTAATATTCCATTGAATGTATATATACCACATTTTCTTTATCCATTCATTTATTGAAGGACATCTAGGTTGGTTCCATAGTTTAGGTATTGTGAATTGACCTGCTATAAACATTGACATGGCTGCATCACTGTAGTTTGTTGATTTTTAAGTTCTTTGGGTGTGAACTGAGGAGTGGGATAGCAAGGTCAAATTGTGGTTCCATTCCCAGATTTCCAAGGAATCTCCATACTGCTTTCGATATTGGCTGCACCAATTTGCAGTCCCACTAACAATGTATGAGTGTAACTTTTCCCCCACATCCTCTCCAACATTTATTGTTGTTTGTCTTCATAATAGCTGCCATTCTGACTGGAAAGAGATGGTATCTTAGAGTAGTTTTGATTTGTATTTCTCTGATTGCTAGAGATGATGAGCATTTTTTCATATATTTGTTGATTGATTGTATATCCTCTTCTGAGAAGTGTCTGTTCAGGTCCTTGGCTCATTTGTTGACTGGGTCATTTGTTTTTTCGGTGCTTAGCTTTTTGAGTTCTTTATATACCCTAGAGATTAGTACTCTATCTGATGTGTGAGGGGTAAAGATTTGCTCCTAGGATGTAGGCTCTCTATTCACCTCACAGATTGTTTCTTTCAGAATAATTATTTCACTAGCATTATCTAAAGGTTACCAATGGGTTTTTCCTCATTATTATAAAGTAATTTTCCTAAGTCATTTGTAGATTATTATGTTTTCTACACAATTACATCATCTAAAATTTATCACAAGTTTGTTTTTTCCTTTCAGACAATGTAAATTTTATTTCTATATCTTATGGCATTGCTAGGACCTTCAGACCAATGTTGAACCAAAATGTGACAGTGAGCCTTGTCCTGATATTAAAAGAATGCTTTTAACATTTTACCATTAAATATGTTTGATTTATTTATTACTTTTTTATTATTATTTGTTGTTCAAAACATTACAAAGCTCTTGACATCATATTTCATACATTTGATTCAAGTGAATTATAAACTCCCATTTATTTATTTCTTTATTTAGCATCATTCATCAGCTATGACAGCTTTTCCTGGTACTGGGGATTGAACCCTATGGGGTTTTTACCATGAAGCTACATTCCATTTAATTTTTTTTTTTTTTTTTGTACAGGGAACTGAACCCATGGGCGCTTTGCTACTGAGATACTACATCCCCAGCCTTTTTAAACTTTTGGGACAGTGTCTTCCTAAGTTGCTGAGGCTGGCTTCACACTTGTCTCAGTCTTAGCCTTCCAAATTGCTGGGATTACAAGCATATGCCAGCTATGACAGACTTATTTGATTCCTCCTGCTTTTAGAAACTCACATAAATAGGTACTGATTTTTAAATTTACCTGATACTTTCCTACCTCTATTAAGATATTCAGATGATTTTACCTCTTGATATCTTTATAAATGTCTTAGACAATTTTCTAATATAGTAGCCAATTTTGCATTGCTGAAATAAACCATGTTTTATCAATTATTTTATATTTTTCACAATTTTCTGGACTTGGATTTTTAACATTTTGTTTGGGTTTTAAAACTCATGTTTGTGAATTATATTGATCTATAATTACCTTTTATTGCTTGTTATTATGCTGTCTCAAAAAAAAAATGAGTTGGGGAGTAGTTTCTTTCCATTCTCTGAAAGAGTTTCTGAAAGATTTAAATGATCTGATTTTGAATGTTTTAAGAACTTGATTGAAAAGCTATTTTTTTTTTTTTTTTGTAAAGAGGTTTTCTTTGTTTATTTGTTTTGGTACTGGGATTGAACCTACAGATGCTAAACCACTAAGCTACATCCTTAGTCCTTTCTGTTTTTTATTGTTCCTAAGTTGCTGAGGCTGGTCTTGAATTTGCAATCCTCCTGCCGTGGCCTCCCAAATCTATGGGATTTCAGACATGTGCTACCATGCCTGGCATAGAAGAGTTTTAACTCCTAATTCAGTAGTTCAATATCTTGGATGGTTTTAGGACTACTTAGGTTTTAAAATTTCCCTTTGGGTAAGTTTTGGTAAGTTATGCCTTATGAATAATTGATGTTATCTAAGTTTTAAAATTTATTATTCTAAAATTGTTCATAATATTTCCTATTATGACTTTAATTTTAATAGCAACTACAGTTAGGTCCCTATTTTCTTTTTAAGATTGCTCAATTGTACGTTTTCTTGTTACTTGAATAGTTTTGCCAGAATTTTGACTATTTAAATTGTTTCTTTAAAGAACCAACTTTTGGCATTCTTAATCTTGCTCATTGTGTCTTTTCTTTGATTAATGTTTATCATTTCCTTCCGTCTATTTTCCTTGGATTCAGTCTGCTTTTCAATCCTTTAGAGTTCAATACTAAGTTCATTGATTTTTAAACTTCTATTCTATGGTGATTTTTTTTTTTTTTTTGGTACCAGGATTGAACCTAGGGGTCTTAACCTCTGAGCAGTATCCCCAGCCCTTTTTATGTTTATTTTTATTTTGAGACAGGGTCTCACTAAGTTGTTGAGGCTGGCTTTGAACTTGAGCTACTGGGAGTACTGATGTGCACCAATATGACCAGCTCTATTGTAATTTTTTGAGGCTATATATTTTTCTTGGAGAACCACTTTAAGCTACATTTCAAAATGCAAAGTTTCCTTCTTTCTCTCTTTTACCTCTCTCCCTCCCTCCCTCCTTCCTTCCTTCTTTCCTTCCTTCTTTCCCCTCTCTCTTTCTTTCAGAGCTGGGGATTGAACCTTGGGCCTTGAACATGTGAAGCAAATATTCTACCCCTGAGTTATAGGCTCAGGCCCTCATGATGCAAGTTTCTGATTCATAGTATTTTTGTTATCTCTCTCTTCCAAGTTTCTAATTTTAATTAAGCTTTTGCTAACTATTCCATCTTACATCTTAGCTCTTTGTTCTTGGGGTCATTTTCCTTCTGCTTAGAGGACATACTTTGAAATTTTATTTAGTGAAGATATACTGAAAAACATTCCGTTTTTGCTGTCTGGAAATGTTTTTACTTTGCCTTTTGTTCTTTTAACAGTTTTTATGAGATACAATTATATGTCATATAACTCAATAATCTAAAGTATACAAATCAATCTTAGCTAATATAATTATAATACATTTAGTATTTTTATCACCTACAAACCACAAACCTATTAGAAATCACTCTTCATCTTATTCCACATCCCCAGCCCTGGGTAACCACATCTGCTTTCTGTCTCTACATAGTTGCCTATTCTGAACATTTAAAAAATTCTGAACCCTTTTAAAATATGGAATCATACATCATGTAGCCTCTGATGATGACTGTTTTAAACATGTTTTCAAGGTTCATCCACATTGGAAGATAGATTCGTATTTCATTCCTTTCCATTGCTGAACACTATCTGACTGTATGGATATAATATGCTTATATCTTCATTGGTTGAGAGATATTGGGTTATTTTCCCCTTTTGGTCATTATGAGTAATACTGCTGTGAATGTTCATATGTAAGATTCTGTGTGAACATGGTTTTCCTTTCTTTGAGTATATACCTAGGAGTAAAATTTGGAATTGTTGGGTCATATGGTAACTCCATGTGTTTAACCTTTTGAGGAATTGCCAGACTGTTTTCCAAAGTGGCTGCACTGTTTTACATTCTCACCACAGCCTATGAGGGTTCCAATGTGTCCACATCCAAAGCCACACCTTGTATTATCTTTTTGATTACAACCATCCTAATGGATGTTTTCATTTGTTTGATAGCTAATGATATTGACTATTTTTTTTCATGGGCTTATTATATATTTGTATAACTTCTTTGGAGAAATGTATTTGCCAATCCTTTGCCCATTTGAAAACTGAGTTATTTGTCTTTTTATTGTTAAGGGTAAAAGTTCTTTACATAGCTTAGACAGCAGTTGTTTATCAGACAAATAATTTGCAAACAGTTTCTCCCATTTTGTGGGTTATCTTTTCACATTTTTAATGGTTTTTTTTTGAAGCACAAAAAGCTTTAAATTTTGATGATGTTTAATTTACCCATTTTTCTTTTATTCATGTTGTATCTAAGAAGACATTGCTCAAATCAAGGTCACAAAGATTTATTCTCATATTCCTTCTAAGAGTTTTACAGTTTTAGCTTCTATGTTTAAGTTTTTGATCTGTTTTGAGTTCATTTTTATGTATGTGTGAAAAAAATCTGATTTCCCTTTTCTGTACCATTTTTTTTTGAAAAAAAAAAGTAGTCTTTCCCTGTGAATTATCTTGGCAACTTTGCTGAAAATTAACTAATTATAAATGTAAAGGTTTATATCTGAACTTTTGGTTCAATTAAATTGATTTATGTCTATCCTTGTGCTACTACCACACTGTATGGTTTACTAGAATCTTATAGCAAGTTTTGAAAGTGAGAAGTATGGGTTCTCAAATTTTGTTTTGCTTGGTTATTCTATGTCCTTTGAAATTCCATGTGAATTTTTAGGAACCTTCTGTCAATTTCTGCAAAGAAGTCTTTTGACAGAGATTACATTTGCTATGGACTGAATTATGCCAATTCCAAGACTCAAATGCTGAAGTCCTAACCTCCAATGTGATTATGTTTGGAGATGTAGACTTTGTGATAATTGGGTTCAAATGAGAATTTGTACCCTTACAACCAGAGAGCTGTCTATCTGTCTTCTTCTCTCTCTGCCAGGCAAAGACAGCAAGATGGTGGTCATCTGCAAGTCAGGAAGAGTCCTCACCAGAACCCAACCATAATGTCACCTTAATCTTGGACTTCCCAGTTTATAGAAATGTGAGAAGATAGGCTGGGGTGGAGAAAGAAAGTGAATTTCTATTGTTTAAGCCACCCTGTTGTCTATAGTATTTTGTTATGAGCTGTGACAGCATTAAGTCTATAGATCCCCTTGAAGAGAATAGCTGTCTTAACAATATTAAATCTTCTGATTCATGAACATGGGATGACTTTCCACTTGTTTAGGGTTTCTTTAATTTTTTATAGTTGTTATAGTGTAAGTTTTGCACCTATTTGTTAAATTTGTTTCTGTGTTTTTATTTTAAAAAAATCTCTCCATGTTTATTTCTTAAATTAATTACTTAATTATTTTTAGCAGTCATATTAATTCAGAATTTTATTTTCAGGAATTTGAATATCTTGCATCATTTATACCTTAAAATAGTATGGTATTGTAAATCAAATTTTTTTCTCAATTTTATTTTCAGGTTGTTCATTGCCGGGGCATAGAAATAACAATTGATGTTGGTATGTTGATCTTGTGTCTGGAAATCTTGATGAATCTGTCTATTAGTTCTCATAGTTCCTTAGTGTATTCCTTAGGATTTGCTATGTACAAGATCATGTATGCCTTCATTTTTGATTTGGATGCTTTTTACTTCATTTTCTTATCTAATTAACCTAGCATGAAACTTCAGTGTACTGTTAACTAGGGTGGTGAGATCAGACATCCTTGTGCTGTTCTTGATCTTAAAGGGAAACACATTCAGTCTTTCACCATTAAGAATAATGTTTATCTGTATCTTTGCCTTTGTTCTAGAAAGATAGTTTTGCTGAATACATAATCCTACTTTGACAGTTTTTTTTCCAGAATATTAAAGATATTATTCCACCATTTCTTGTTTCTTTGTTGCTATCAAAAGTTAGCTGTCAGCTTATTTACCATTCATATGCAGATGATCTGTCTTTTGTCTCTGGCTATATTTAAGATTATCTCTTTATTTTTTGATGATCTGAGGTTTCTCTCTGATGTGTGTAGGTATGTTTCTTTTATATTTTCCTGCAAGGTTTTATTATATAGTTCTAATATAATGGTAGAAAATTTCAATAAACCAAGTCTTCAAGGTTCTGGTTCTCTCATTGTTTCTCCTGGTTCACTCTCCATTATGATTTGAGTGTTTTTAACTGAGTTACTCATTTTCTTAATAACATTATCTATGGGAACATTTTAGGAGCCTGGAGTAAAGTTGAGTCTCTTCCACAAGGATTATTATTTGCCTCTGCCATTTGCCAACCATGTGACTTTCTTCTAAATTCTCCACTTTATTTAAAAAAAAATTTCCACCAAATGCACGGCATGAATATCATCCATGAATGATGTAGTGAAGAGAGAGTTTTGTACAAGTTTTAGCCCCCTCTATCCTGTGCCAGGCACAGGGTCAGGCAAGTTTCTTTTCTGTCTTCTTCTCCAGGGCCAATTTATTTCTCACCCAGATTTCTGTGGGGGAAATCTCAGATTTACACTGAAGTCTCCTATTATATTCCCATTTGTCCAGGCTCTAGGATTTTCTTTATCTCCATGACCCATTTAGACATGAAGGTCAAAGCTCAAGGTCTCCAGGGTTCAACAAAACCCATCAGCATGAAACCTTGAACTGGTAGTCACACCAGGATTCCTCCTCTTTTTCTTTTCTTTTATTTTTAACCTCTGCAGATTCCTTTCTTTCATGCCTGCACAGTATCATATGTTAAAAGGGTAGTAAAAGAAATACATATAATTTTAGAATTTCTAAATGAGGAGGCTGTTTAAGGTAACCCATCTCCTTACTGGTTACTGTTGGAAATCAATCTTCTATCCTTCGTTTTTCCTCTAAACAAGCTGACATGGAAAATATTCAGAAAAATGATGTCATCCTCCACCCATAAAATCTCCATGGAAAGAGATTCTACAACTTCCTTGTGGTAGATTGTCACAATGGCCAAATTATTCCCTTCTCTGCATTCACACTCTTGAAATCTGATATTGACTTGTTTGCCAAAGGCAGGACATTAACAGTGTGACATAGGCTAAGGCTTGAAAGGTCTGACCTACAAAGCCCACGCTCTTGTTGCACTTTAGAGCTCTGAGACCACTGTAAGAATGAGCCCAAGCCAGCATCTTCAAGGATAAGAAGCCACATGGAAGCACAAGTCCACTGTGCTTCAGTAACAGGTAAGTAATAGCACTCTCTTAGAATATAATTGCAGTCACATCCCATACCTCCTTGTAACAATTTTACTTTGTCCTGCCTTAACTTCTGAGGATGTAAAAGTAGTCATTTGCCAAGATACTACTAAAGTTCAATTTGGACTAAAGGAGTTTATCAATTATTGGCATAAAATTTAAATCACACCAATTGAAATATATCTCATTCAAGCTTCTATAAATAAATTAGGGACTATGAATGTGTAATTTATTTTCTCAGTGCAGCGGCCAATTAGATCATGATTAAAGAAGTCCAGGATTTTTCTCCATGACAGGGGAAGTCAATCTCAGATATCTGAGATTTTGATTTCCAACAGTAACCAGTAAGGAGATGGGTTACCTTAAATAGCCTCCTCATTTAGAAATTTTAAAATTATAAGTATTTCTTTTACTACTAATATGAAGCAGTTACTGATAAGAAAAGATACTGTGGGCTTTCATGATAAATTCAACATAAGTCAATTGTGTGAAGTGGCTCCTCAGGAAGTCAATTCATATCAGTCACATTAACAGAAATGAAGTTTCATGTGACCATTTCAGATGAGGCCTAATTCGAGGACCTGCAATATATATAGTTCAACGCAAGAAGAGCTGGCTGCAAATATCTGAAAGGGCAGTCACCGGGAAAATCAAACACAAAGTGTTCTTCAAATTTTACCAGGACAAACCTAAAAAGCGGGTATGAGTTACAGGTTTCAGCCAAACATTTTCTTTTCTTTTTTTAAAAAATCAATCAATTAATTAATTGTATGTGACAGTGGAATGCATTGCAATTCTGATTACACATATAGAACACAATTTTTAATGTCTCTGGTTGTATACAAAGTATATTCACACCAATTTGTGACTTCGTACATGTACTTGGATAATAATGATCATCTCACATTTCACCATCATTTATAACCCCATGCCCCCTCCTTTCCCCTCCAACCCCTCTGCCCTGTCTGGAGTTTGTCGATTCCTCCCATATTCCCTCCCCCTATCCTAATATGAATCAACCTCCTTATATCAAAGAAAACATTCAGCATTTGTTTTTTGGGGATTGGCTAACTTCACTTAGCATTATCTTCCTTAATTCCATCTATTTACCTGCAAATGTCATGATTTTATTCTCTTTTATTGCTGAGTAAAATTCCATTGTGTATATATGCCACTTTTTTTTTATTCATTCATCTATTGAAAGGCATCTAGGTTGGTTCCACAATTTAGCTATTGTGAATTGTGCTGCTATAAGAGACTCACCCACAAAACTACAATTATCTTATATTAGACAAAGGTGCCAAAAACATGCATTGGAGAAAGTTAGCCTCTTCAACAAATGGTGCTGAGAAAACTGGAAATCCATGTGCCACAAAATGAAATTAAACCCCTATCTCTCACCATGCACAAAACTCAACTCAGAATGGATTAAGGATTTAGGAATAAAACCAGAGACCCTGCGTCTAATAGAAGAAAAAGTAGGCCATAATCTCCATCATGTGGGATTGGGCCCCAACTTCCTTATTAATAAGACTCCTGTGGCGCAAGAATTAAAACCAAACATTTTCTAAACCCAAAATAATCCACGATAAGAATGGCTGGTCTGTGTGCAGGGAGGCCTGGATATGGAGAACAGGAAGCGCAGGCAGGAGAGACATTTATTTGGGACATTGCAAAAGGGCATATTGCCTCTTGGGTCAGAGGACTCCTCTTCTTCTTTCAGCTGAGCCCCTTTCCCTTTTCTGCTTCCATTACCCTTCTTTAGGAACTCTTAAGGAGGCTGAGTCTAGGGTTCTATAATTAGCCATGGATCAGCTGTGCCAATTAGAGCTAACTCAACATCCTCCTGCTTCCAAATTACAAACCTGACTAAAGTCAAGATGAATCTTCTCCCTTGTTAAACTGACTCTTTAAGGACAGTCATGTTGTCACATAACAGGTGCTCATCAGATCCAGACTGATTTTAGCCAAGAAAGCTTGCACTATCATTTGCTCTCAAGCTGACTTACAGGCAGGCACAAGCCAGGCACCTTTTCAGGTGTGTTAAGTTAAGCTTGCAGGATGGCCTTTCTCCTGGGTGGACACCATCCCTCCAAGGTCACCAGGTTGCCTGGTTCTCCACCCAGCACTGCCCTCACTCTTACCTGCTTCACTCCACACTGTCTGAGGGAGGATTCTCATGAGAACAGGCTGAGAGAAAGTCTCTTCAGGCCTTTATAGATCCCAACTGCCTGCATTTGTTCTTTCTGTCCCTGGGGCACGTTCTGGCAGACAGCATGACCAGGAGTCTGAGCAGGTAGATGGGAAGTGGGGCCTCCTACCTTGACAGGTGAAGCATCGGATGTGGAAGTGGTTGTTGTGGACCCGAACAACTTCTCCTTTGCAGGTGTCTCCGCATCGGTAGCACTGGATGACATTGGAGCCGCCCCGGGGATTGTAAGGATTCTGCTGATAAGGAACTGTGGGAAGAAACGAGAGGTTAATTCTTCAAAAATAGAAACACGAAACTTCCATGAGACATTATCATAATTTAACTGGAAGAAAAAGCAGAAAGGGTAGACATGACTAGATGTCCTCCACCCCAAATCCATCATCCTGACGAGTGTGCCAAGCTCAACAGCACTGAGTTGCACTAGGATGTGAGTCCATAAACCTCCGTAAGCAGGCAAAGACTTAGGAGTGAGCATAACTTTTCCTTGCAGTAAAGGAAGCCAAATTCTGGAACAGAAAATAAACAAATAAAAAAAGGGGAACTAGAGTAGAGTCATGTGCTGCATAACAATGTTCCAGTCAATGTCAGATAGATGATGCTGGTTTCAGGACATCAGAATGGAACTGAAAATTTCCTACTGCCTGATGGTGTTGTAGCTGTCGTAATATCCTAGTGCAATACGTTAGTCATGTATTTGTGGTGATGTTGGTGTAACAAACCTGTTGCATTGCTAGTCCTACAAAAGTATAGCCCAATAGAATTACATACAGTACCTATTACTTGACAATGATAACATATGAATGTGTTACTGGTTTATGTATTTGCTATCACTATACTTTTTATTGCTGCATTATAGTTGTACATAATAAGAGGTTTCATTGTTACATATTTGTACATGCATATAACACAATTTGGTTAATTTCATACCCTAGTACTTCCTCTTTCCCTCCCCTCCTCTCTTTCCCTAATTCCATTTCTATTCTACTAGTTTTCTTTCTATTTTCATGAGACACCTCTTTTTTTCCCCTTTAGCTTCCACATATAAGAGAAAATATATGACCCTTGACTTTCTGAGTCTGGCTTATTTCACTTAAGACAATGCTTTCAAGTTCCATCCATTTTCCTGAAAATAATTTTGTTCTTTTTTACGGCTGAATAAAACTCCATTGTATATTTATACCACATTTTCTTTATTCATTCATGTGTTGATGGACACAAATGTTAGTTCCATAATTTGGCTATTGTGAATCGTGTTGCTGTAAACATGGGTGTGCACATATCACTATGGCATGACGACTTTAATTCTCTACGATCAATACCAAAAAGAGTGGGATAGTTGTGCCATATTATTCTATCCTTATTATTATTATTTTAGAGTGAGATCCTTATACTTAAAAAGAAAAAACTTTACTATAAAACAGTATGCCAGTAACAGTATAATACATCTTGTGTTTATCATGTTTCTTGATTGTATCAAGAGGCCAGGCCAAGTGATTGGCCTACATCATCCTGATTTGTGAAGGTATATGCTATGAGGTTTGTGCAATCACAAAATCATCTAAAACGTATTTCTCAGAACCTATCCCCATGATTAAGTTATGGATAGTTGTATTTCAAAGTCAATCATCCAGAAACTCAATTTCTTGGGTGACCTCTGGATCAAAATTATGTTCCAAACTTGTCAAGGGGAATTTGGGTCCTGAAAAATCACTCTTGAGTCTCAAAGAAATGGTGATGGCCCTGGCTCCATCTGGCCTTTGAGTTAATCAAGTTACAGCCCCTCTCTGGGCCTCAGTTTTCACATGTATAAAATGAAGGTGGTTGGTCAATGGTAGCACAGAGTTTCTAGACAGAAGGCCTGAAGGGAGGCATCCTGGCTGGAAAGGGGCTGTTGAAGGGGTTCATTTTAAAGCTGCCTTTGAACAGTACTTTCCACAATTTTAAGAAAATGTTCAATGTGTGCAACTGAGAAAAAAAGGCTGGTAGTAATTGTGAACAGGGCTGAAGCCACTGGGAACTAGACTGCTGTGGACAGCATTTGATGATGCTGAGAAGCTCCACTGAAATACTAAGTCTCTTGTTAACCTGCTCGTAGTTACCCTTAGACATCTCCTTTCCCTGAAATAGATGCTCAGCTTGACCATCTTAAATCTGTTTATCTGGCATAGAAGAATTAGAGTTACCTGCCTAGATCACAGAATCCCAGAGTTGGAAGAGATATTATAAGCTGTCTGGTCCAACTTCACTATGAATAAATTGTAGAGATAATTTTGCCAGTGAGGAACCAAATCTCTCCTATAGGCATCTCCTAGTGGCCCAGGGAGAAGGTTCCTCAATTCACACTCAGAAACATTAATTAATTTAGGATTAATTAGAACCCCTTTCTTGACAGTGTAGTAGTCATTTTGTTAACTAAAATTTAAATGTTTTCCTCCTGACACATGAAGAATTGCATGTGGAAACTTGCTGAATAATGAAATGTGAATGGAAATTGTGTGTGTCCCTTTTGGTTGGAAACCTTTGGAGCCAGATATGATCTACCATATTACCCTTTCCCTAACCCACCAACAAGAGACAGATGTCTCAGTTGACGTCCAGTAGGCATCAGCTTGGATCCCTGATAGAGGAGTCATGGAATAGAACTCCACACCAACCCACGATAAACATCTATCATAAGAAATAACAAGTCTTTGTTTTCATAGCCTCCAAAACTTTTTGTTACTGCAGCACAACCTAAACTATCCCATCTCATCCATCTGGGATCTGATACTTCTTTCTAAATAAACTTGTTATTACGTGTGTTCTTCTATAGTTATATTCATATTTTCAAAGAGGTCTATGGTGTCCATAACTGATTTCATCCATTTCCCTCTTTCATCCACATGTGGCAAGACCTCTCTCTCTCCAGATAGTAGCAATATGAAGTGTGGGGGTCAGGGAAGCTAGGCTGAGATCGGCCACATCTGCTTCTGTCCTGGAAGCCACCTCATTTCCAATAAGATTATATATTCTTGGCTAATTAGAAACAAAGAAATAGGACCTCTGGTTATCTCTTATGTATAAGGAGATATAAGATCCCGGTTGCTGAGCCCTGAAACTGGCTTCTGACAATTTTGTTAAGTAGGGTAGGAAAAAAAGTCCATTTCACAATCTTTCTCCTTCCTCTGCAGCTCTTTTTCCTTTCTTTCTTAAATTCAAGATAATAAAATAAAATAAACAAATCAAGTAGTTAACTAATCATTAATTCTTTGGATTTTATTTATGTATTTATTTATTGTGGTGTTAGGATGGAACCCAGGGCCTTATGCGTGCTAGGCAAGCACTCTACCACTGAGCTAAACCCCAGCCTTAATTAACTCTTCAAGTGGGTTAACGTGAAGAAGTGCGTTATATATCCTGCAGATGTTCACTAGTATCACAACCATGACACCCTCCCCATGGCTCAGAGCAGTCCTTCCCCAACCCTAGCATGTCCATAAATATTCTATTTAGCCCAATCTTCTTTTCTTCTTTTTTTTCTGATTCCTGCTCAATACCCCCAGGAAAATATTTCATTCTCTCTTCCCCTTTATGAGAAAAATGTAAATCCTGTTTATATGAGCAGTGCAGTGATCTATCATTGCCAAGGGAAGCAAAGCTGTGAGTCTGGAAATAAAACAAGAACAAATAGTCCGACCATCCCCACCAGTGACAGGGCTCTTGAACGTCTCCCAAAGTCCCTGCCGAGTCACTGCACACATTTTTATCTATGTCTCCTAATTCTACCCGCCTTATGGTTCAGGAATCAACTTCCAAGATCGATTACATCTTTCTAATTTGGTTCAATTTTCTGGGGAAGTGGATTTGTGAGAATGATCCTCAGTCAGAACTCAGTCTTTGAACCCCCTTATCTAAAAGATATAAAGTCAGAGTGAGGGGATGGATTAGGAAAATAGGCCTGTTGGGGCAGAAGGACTAGCTCTGTTGCTTCCCTCGGATGAGGATGTTGCTTTGGTGATGGTGAGTGTGGCCAGGGCTCCAGGAGTGTCTGATGCTTGTAAATAGACTCATACACAGAAATTCATGCATCCATGAATCGTTGGTGCAAATTCTTCCAGATTGCTGATGCAAGCTGTGGCTATAAAAGGACAGTAAGATTCGATCATACACATGTGGCAAGACCTTCCTCTCTCCAGATAGTAGCAATAGGAAGTGTGGGGGTCAGGGAAGCTAGGCTGAGATCGGCCACATCTGCTTCTGTCCTGGAAGCCACCTCGTTTCCAATAAGATTTTATATTCTTGGCTAATTAGATCAGGAGCTTAATCCAACCTTATTCTGTGTTTGTGTAGGTATGTTGGGGGAAGTGTTTCTTTCCATCAATTTGTGGCTTCCTTGAAATGCTGAGATATGGGGCTGGGGATATGGCTCAAGCGGTAGCGCGCTCGCCTGGCATGCGTGCGGCCCGGGTTCGATCCTCAGCACCACATACAACCAAAGATGTTGTGTCCGCCGAAAACTAAAAAAAAAAAAAAAAAAAATGCTGAGATATGTGTGTATTTGTTGTTGCTGTAGTACCAAGGATTGAGTCCAAGACCTTGTTAGGCAAGCACTCCACTGAGCATGTCCCCTAAATGCTGAAATTTGATTGATTTTCTGCTGGTTATTATTTCCACCAATGTTTATCCCAGTAAGTATTAAAATTAAGAGTTCAGTCACGTGATTTATAACTTTCATATTATGGGAAAAATGTCTTTTTAAAAAATTTTTATTATTAGTTGTTCGGGAAAATGTCTTTTTTTGAAAAAATTGATTTATATATGTGTTACGGTTTAGATGTGAAGTGTCCTCCAAAAGCTCATGCGTGAGACAACACAAGAAGGTTTAGAGAAGAAATGATTGGGTTTAGAGTCTTAACCCCATCAGTGAATTAATACCCTGATGGCAATTAACTGAGTAGTAACTAAAGGCAGGTAGGATGTGGCTGGAGGAGGTGGGCACTGAGGGGTGTTCCTTTGGGACCATTGGGGTATATATTTTGTATCTGGAGCATGGAGTCTCCCTCTCTCTCTCTCTCTCTCTCTCTCTCTCTCCTTTCTGATCATCATGTGAGCTGCTTCCCTCCACCACACTCTTCTGCCTCTTCTCCCTGAGGAATGGAGCTGGGCTTCTATAGACTAAGACCTCTGAAATTGTGAACCCTCAAATAAACTTTTTCTCCTCTACAGTTGTTCTGGTCGAGTCTTTTAGTTACAGCAGTGAAAAAGCTG